GATGGATTGTATTTATTTTGAACAATAATTAAATAGTAGTTATTATTGAAAAAATCAAGAAAAGCGACATGAAATGGATGTGGCCATTGAATAGTAACTGATTTTTGATTAGCAAGAATAGTTTTGAAAGTAGAACCATTTTCATGTAGAGCATTATCAATCGCTCGCATAAAATGAACAAACATTGTTTATGGTAGAATAATATCTTTATGAAATGATAAAATTATTTTATTATCAACTATTTCACATCTTTCTCCACTAAATCCTTTTGGACGGATGCATATAAATGGTTTATCAGATACAATATTTTCATCAATAGGTATGCACTTACCATTATCTGACAAGTGGCATTTTGATTCGAATAACATATAGTATTATGAAGTAAATATTGAGAACCCCATTTATGAAGTGGACAAATACAAATCGATCGATTATTTGATGATATGGCAATACATAATGAATCAGATGAACGTGTACATCTATGTGGAATAGTACAATATTTTCCCGTCCATTCATGATAACATTGACAAAAACTTTTATCATTTAAATATCTAATACATTGACCATGTATACATGGTTGATCTAAGCAATTTTCTTTTCCATCATTTGTACGTGGAATATTAAGTTGAATAGCAATACGATGTACAGGTAAAAATGGATATTTAAGTGGAATTAAAAAACTTCTTCGATATGTAAATGAAATCTTTTCATAAATATCAATGTGAATAAAATAACTTTTTGTTAAACTTTTTTGGTCTAGTCGAATAAAGTAAATAAATATTAAATTTAGTTTGACAATCTCGAATATAAATATAAGTAAGTTGTTGATATGAATGGATAATTCTTTCATTACTATCATCAATAAGTAAAATAATTAATGCAAATAATGTTCGTCGAGAATCAGAAAATGTTTGAAATCGTAATGTAAGACTAACACGTTGGTTTTGATATTGACACATATTACCATAAAAACTAGGTGGACAAAGACATGCGGCAATAGTCAAGTTTTGATCAATGTTTAACCAAATTCGTAATGGAAGACCACGATGACAACGTTGGTGATGCTGTTGGATAGATGTTTGTCTGATGGATGAATGTAAGATCATTTCATTTGTATGTTGTTGAGTTCGTCGATTTACCAAGTGCAAAATGTATCATTGTCGGGTTATTGGTATCAAATTGGCGTGTACAAAAGAAATTTTCAACAGGAGAACGAATACCTTCATACCATTTCTCACAGATAGCAGAATATATCGTGATATTTCGAGTCTTATCACAAAATTGTTCATCAGCTCCATCTTGACAACGACTTTCAAAACACAATTCTGCGGGATTAATACAAAGTTCGCCTGTGTTACCGATACACTGGAAATTGTAGTCGCTAGGTTGATAATCATTTGATCGACATGGTTTAGGTTCATCAGTACCACCAAGACAATCAATATCACCATCATTTTACTTTTTCAAGAGGTAAACACATAAATTGATTTGTTTGAGGTGAAACACAAATATGATAATGTTGATATGGACAATTAAATGATAATGATGATGAATAACAATCAATTTCATCAGCTCCATTAAAACAATTCCAAAAACGATCACATCATGTATAAGTATTACTACATTGCCAATATTCACATTCTGTTTCATCTGTTTTATATCGTCCATTAATGGTAACAGGTATTAATTCTGTACAACCATCACAAATAGTTGTGAATGATACATGTTTTCTAATATAAAGATTGTTTAAATCTTCATCATCACAAAAAGCATATTGATCAGATCCACACTGACACCATCCATCTTTGACCAATGCTGGAGAAATACAGATATTTGTTGTCGTACATTTAAAAAGATTATCTAATCCATGTAATAAACAAGAGCCATTGATTTGAGTACATTCTTCATCGTCATTGTATTTACAATCTGTGACATTATCACAAAGTCGATGTTTTGAGATACACATTGATGAATTAATACATTTATACATAGTTAAATTGTTACAATTTGCAGATTCATTATA